TTACGTCCATGGTCCATTTGATTAACATAGATAAAAGAATTCGTTAGCTCAAAAGACATTTCCTTCTTTTTAGCCTTTTTGTATTTTCCTTATTAAAAAAATAAAAAAAAGATAACACACACAACGACAGAACCACGCCTCCTCCTGTGAAACCGAGAGCCCCACACCACCACCGTTAGCCATCACCGCTTCCCTACAGGGAAAAAATCATTTAACTCGGTTAATTCTAGGGGCATTTTATTCCTTTTACCACTTTTTGTATTTTTCTTATTGAACGGCATAAGACACTCCCCCACCCACACTTCACCATCTCCTCTCATAAAACCTGTCGTCCCAATGTAACCTTCCATCTCTTATGGTGAAACCCACCTCCCATCTTTTGTCTTCGTCTCCATCTCCTCCGGTGAATCATAAAACACATGTAACTAGCAACGTAACTAATGTGCTATCTCGGAACTTGTTAATCAACTTCCTTGGCTTCATGGTACTTTACATGTTGCATAACAATCAATAAATATGTTCTAAAAACTAGTTATGTTTAATTAGGTTGTTGGCCCAAGGCAAGAATAGGGTTGGGAATATGAAGCCAACCAAGAGCATTTACAATCACTTCGGCGAACCAAACAACAACACTCACCAAAAATAAACACAAAAAATGAAACCGATGACTCAAATATGAAAGGCAAACCAACGACACCACCCTGACCAAAAATGAAACCCGAAAAATGAAGCCTCCTCTTGGCGTGAACCACCATCCTCACCAAAATTGCAACCCACAAAGAAACTGATAAACAAAACGCAACATGGATATGGGAAGGCAGAGAGAGGGAGCACCAGAAAACGGTGAGCTTAAAGGGAGGGTTCACTAGAGTTGGTGGTACAACAAAAGAGGGGTCACTGTTTATTTATACACTATATAGTTGATCGAAGAGTGCTCGATGCTATATATACTGTTTTTGTGTGTATGTCTATATATATATACACACTCACACATATACATATATAATAAAAAAAAGATCAAAATGCTCCTGATTTAACTAAGTTAATGATACTAGTCAGAGGGACCATGACTAAAAAATGAATACATGGAACCAAAACCGTAATAAAGAGAGTTCAAGGAGTGTAGTAGTAGTTTTCACGATACCACAAGGACCAAAACTGTAATTCACTTTAATATTAATGGCTTAATAATAATTCTTAATGAATATAAAGTAATATAAAATAGAAATTGAATTAATCCTTCTTTTGGAATAGGATATGGGTGTTATAAATGCGTAGGCGAAGGCTATTACCTACTTACAGGTAGGAATATGTAAAGTCAATGCTTCATGTTTATTACTATTATAATATTAAATTGTTATATTATAATGATTAAATAATAAATAAATTGACAAA